AGGCATAAACCATGCTGAGCGCAGTGTTACAGAAGGAAATCCTGTCCCACCAGGGTTGTATTACCTCCTCTCCATGTAGTGGAGCCTGTTAATCTGCTATTGTTCATGCCAGTGGGACAGTGCTTGCTCAAGGCCGTTTGTCACTCTTTTATTGCTCCTGGAGACTGCAAAACAGCAGGGTCTGTTTTTTTTCTCAGACAATGACATGTATTTATGATGCTGCATTGTAAACTGCTTAGCAAACCTTGGAAGGACAACACAGAACTGTGAGTGAAAAAAAAAAAAAGATAAATCATCAGGGAATAGGGTGGTTCTACAATACTGAACTTGAGGTATAAATCATTGATCCAGATGAGCCTCTCGAGAGCCTTCCAACCTGGAAAAGCTATGCTGTTACTTGCCCGAAAGTGCACAGGTCACAAAAGCCACTATATGTGTAAAGGCCTGCTCAGGGTAGGTCATACAAGGTCTGGATGACTGCATTGGATTTAGATGTTCATTACAGGTGCTACGCAGGAAGGAATTGCTTGTTTGGCTTTATTCCCACCAGTGAATCATAAGATCCAAGATGACAAGTGCTGCTGTTGCTTTTGCTGCTTTGGGGATCTCCCTGGTTAAGTGACAGCAAAGATCTGTGCCAATGGCTCGAATATTTTTAAGCTACAGACCTCCCTGGGCATTCCTAGGTGTCATCAAGGTGAAGTTGCCAAGGGAAGCACAAAGCCAGAAGTCTGGCCTTGAAGCTATATGCATGGTTTGTGACTAAATTACTTGACAAAATGGGAAGAAAAGTCGAGGAGGTGGGATGGGAACTGGCGCCTGCCTTAGGCGTGTGATAAATACAACTAGCATGGTGCAAGGGGTAGGTTCTCAGCCAGGAGAAATAACTGTAAACACATTGATTTACCTAGGGTGGTTTTTTCAATTGTGAATGTAGCTTTTGTCGTTCCTGTTTTTTGTCATGTCCCAGTTCTGGTATATGTGCTCATACACAGCTCCATTCTGTGTTGCAGCGTTGGAGGAAAAGCACACCTGGCAAAGATCCATCTCTGTCTTCTCTGGAATAATAATTCTTGGGAGTGGTCAGGGAGGACTGATACTAATCATTACTTGCTTGGGGCAATCCCATACCTGCCCTCCCATGGCTTGGTGTCTCTGGATGGACCCCAGCTCATCTTATTTGTAAAGGGTAGTTTTCCTGTCCTGTTCCAGGTTTGTCACCCTTGCATTCATTTTGCACTCACCGCAGTGACATCAATGGGAGTTCAAGGAGGGAGACAGGATTTCACTCCATCTCTCTGTCCATTCAGTATTATGGAACACTCAGCACACAAGTATGTGCACTTCATCAGCTCTGCTATTAATTAAGCATGTTCCTGGGGGACATACTTATCCGGATGTGACCAAGTCACCAAAGTGCTTGGAGTTTAGCTGGGTTTTGTCTGGAATTTGTGTGAACTGTGAGCGTGAACTCTGGTGTTTCCAGGGGCAAGGGAAGAAGTTGGTTTTTGTGTAGAAGGCCAATTTCTCAGGTTATTTTTGAGCTAAGGCTACGGGGTTAGAACATTACATTTTTCTCTCAGAACTCAGGAAGCAGGTGCAGGGGACATAAATGCAAGGCATGAAACAGAGATGAACAGAGTGATGAACATCTGGGTGACCTGCTCATGTGGTCTTTGGTGCTTACTGATGCCTGGTACAGTCTTTAACTTGAATGTAGTTTTTCTCTGAAAAGCGATTTATAAAGTTGGTATCATGAAGTTCCACAGTTCACTGTGTTTCCATGCTCAAGCATGCTCACTTTATCAGTCAATGAATACTTATTCTCAACTCTGACTTGACTTTGCACATCTGTTTCTGAAATAAGCCTTTTTTTTTTTTTAGCTCAATCTCAGCAAGGATTTGGTAATTGGAAGTTAGCAATTGTATTCACTATATACAAATGAAAATAAAATCTGGTTTGCACTGTCATAACTGTGTTGACTCCACAGGGGGTTAAGCAAGAGTAACATTTGCTTTACAACTCAGTAATTTGAACAGATGTGGTTCTAATTATGCACAAAAAACAATGAAATGGTGCCACTTTTATACAGTCACTTTTCAGACTGTTATTAGAATATTTTCTTTGTATTAAAACAACTCTAGTGCTCTAAATTCCCTTTGCCCAGATGTTAGTTGTAAATTGCTGGGTACCATCAAGTGTATTCCAGGATGACATCAGGTACGCTGATACGAAGAGTGAGGGCTGACAAAAGCACAGATCCAGCTGCAAGGCTGTTAATCAGAAAACAGGCTAGCAAATGATTTCCTCAGGTTGCGGATGGTCTCAGCTTTTGCTTCATCTTCATTAGCATTTCCCCGCTGAGATGATTCAGATATGCTGAAGGTGTTTGTCAGGGACTGTGATTTGCTGAAATGGAAAACAGAATTGAGACTCAGGAGGACATGGTGGCAGTTCAAAGCTGGTTACTGATGCTTTGTGTTCCATGACACAGACAAATTCAAGGATAAAAGGAGAGGTTAGAATCTCCATATGCTGACATCCAGGAATGGAGAGGTGGAAGAGGATGGGACATGGGCAGGTAGCTCCAATATCACAGTCCAGACTATTAAGTGTTTATAAAAACATCTAACTAAAAGTAGCAATTGCCATTTGGTGCAACTGTTGTGAGGAACAGTTATTTCGCTACTAATACAGAAGAATGGATGCATAGTGAGGGTCACCTGTCTCTCATCAGAATGATGGTCCTGTCCTTTCAGATGTGTCCTGTCCTTTCCCCACTACCGTGCTTTGTCACTGAGCAGTTTCTCCTGGTCAGTAACAGGCATTCAGCCCAAGACCAAGCTCTGAATTAAAATACCTGAAATATGCATAGTGTGGCAGCTGCATCCTTAGCACCAACAATTTGATCCTTAAGTACACTGCTCTTGGTTTGTTTTGTGAATGTAGATGTCACTGAAAGCCTGTTCCAGAACATCACTCCTCTGCTGCCTAGAAACTGTCTTCTCATTCCTAGCCTATATTTTGTTCTGGCTTGTTCGTACCAATTTGCTCATGTCAACTTTTTGTCAACACCAAACATATTTTTGCCAATCTCTCCTCCCATAGTGCCAGCCAGATATGCTCCATGAAGGGTGGCAGCAAAGGCTGTCACTGAAATAAATCAGTGGTGGGCTTTGCTCCAGAAGAGTGCTTAAACATACAGTCACCATCTGGAGTTTTACATATGTGTATATATGTGTGTGTGTGTGTATAGATATATATATATGAATGAGTAGTGCTACTTCCACTTCCTGTTGCCCCCCCCGTCTTTTTGCTACCAATTGCAAAAAAATTGCCTGGTAAAGAACCTTGTGTGGCTCCTGCATTCAGAGAATAGTGAAGGAATGACTATTCCTGAGCTTTCTGGCCAATAATGTGCTGATTGCAGCCTGTAAGGAGTATATGCCCTGCAGGGAAGGTAGTAGCTGTGTTGATACGGCTGGGGTAGAGCGCACAGTTATCAACAAGCACATGAACAAGAGGAAGAATGTGAAATCTTAGAGGTGTCAAGTACAAACTGTTTCTCCTGACAACAGGTCAATGGGGGTGTGTTATGCCCAGGTGTATATACCTCTGAAGTCCCTCACAGTTGTCCAGGCCTTTGTCCTTGAGCACTACTGCCTGACAACAGGTGATACATTCTTCATGACAGCTCAGGGTACTTTTTTGACAGCCTTATTCTAATATCTACAGATATTAGCAGTTTTAACAGAGCACCTACTTCAGATGGGGGTGTGGGGTGGCTTGCTGCTTGGGTGTTTCTGTGGGGCTTGGCTGGCTGGGAGCCCGCCCTTGAGCAGGAGGTCTAGGCTGCTGTGGAGGAAAGACGCCGGCCTTGGAAGCCTGGACTGGAGAGGACCCAGTTGCTGATCGGAGTTGCTGTGGAGATCCAGGTGACCTTTGCTGCTGAGGTGAAGTGGACTGGGGACTCTGGGGCTGTTGCCCTTGAGGAGAGAGCCGCTGCTGTGGAGGGGCATTTGTCCGTGGAGGCTGAGATCCCTGAGGCTGGCGTGGTCCACCTGCAAGGGACATGTAGACATAAACATGAGGAAGTGCATGTGGTGGACAACAAGCAAGTAGCATCTCTATGGAAGAATGGGTTTTCCTAAAGGGAGAGACTCTTCACAGTAGCTTCATGCAGAAGGATAAGGGGAAAGTCTCTCTTATAGGCCTGAAACTGGTGTCCTGGCCACATCTCTAGAGTTGTTAATT